ATTTTGGTGTTTCTGGAGGAAGCCTTTCTTACCTCAGGTTACCTTACATTTCCTGAGAGTTTACAAAGAAACTGTTCATGGATCTTTGTTGAAACTCAGGGGCTGTGCCCTGCAGAGACAGGAACAGGTGGAGTAGCCCGGAAATCCTGGGAGGAGAGCTGAGGGTGAGTAAGGAAGGGCACTGAACAGGGGATTTAGTGGCAGATGCCTCCTCAGTCACATTCTGGTGGTTTGTGCTCCTTTCTGCACCCTGGGCAGCCGAGGCTGTGGTATCAAAGAAGTCTCAGGTGACAGATCTGACACTGGGGACGCTGAGTGTGGTGCAAGTTTTGCCTTTGTGACTTTTCTTTAAGTCTCTATTTCTTGTCTCTTTTCTAGGACACTCTGGCGTTCAACCAACAGGTAAGGTCCAGTGTCCTTGAATCTTGTCTCAGAGACAGATGTGTTCTTCCTATGAGGGACGGAAAAAAGATGAACAGGAAACAGAAGTACATTTGTCCCTGGAGTTAAGACCAACATGGCATGAATGACGACATGGGTTATGACCAAAATTTTAGTGTGAACTTAGGAACAACGTCTTGAGTGGTGACCTGAATGCCGGCTCTGGTGATTCCAGGTGGCCTAGATTCAGATTTACCCTGTAAGGAGTTCTGGAAGGAACATGACATCATCCTTCCCTGTGTGGGGTTAGTTGAGAAATCCTGGCCCATGTCTCTCCAAGGACACTGAGTCTACCTGTACACAGGGGAGACTGCGACGTATGAGTAGAGGAGCCCTGGCCTTCAGTTGACCAACTTGAGTCACAACAGCTCTTGCAAAGATATTGAGTTCAGAAGTCACTGGTTTAGTGTAAGTGAAAGATTTTAGACCCAAGGTTCTGGCCAGGAAGCTGCACTAAACCTTCCTCGTTCCACGTAATAAAACCCTGTGCTCTGAGGTAGCAGCGGTTCAGGGAGACGTAAGAGATTTTTCTTCTCTCACTGCAATGCTGTCCTGAGAGGGGAGAGGAGCTGCATTCAGAGTCAGCTCAGGAATCACTGCTGTCCTCTGTCCCTCAGGACTCCTGAGCTAAGGGGAGGTGACAGCCCTGCAGGAGGACCGTGTCCCTGCTTCTCCACGTCTCCTCCACATCCCGACTGGATCCCTGCTCGGCTCTCGTTCTCCCACAGACAGAGGCCCAGGGTGCACAGGACTCTTCCTCCCCGAGGCCTTCTCTGCCCCTCACCACCCCGAAGCCCCGGCACAGACTGCAGCCTCCCTTCATCTCTCCTGGCCCCTCTGTGGTCACCGTTTACCTCCTCCACCTGCTGAACTTCCCTTAGGAGACGTTGCTTTGCCACTTTCTTTTCCTCAAATAAACATAGAGTGAAAAATCGTGTACTTCCCAATCTTGTCAGGACAAACATAGAGAATCAGACAAGAGGATAACATCACGTGCACCATTGGTTGTCATTTATGTATAAGAAGTGTGTGAGCGAATCCCTATGTTAAATGGGTTGGCTCAGCCGGTTCCCAAAGTCTGCAGAGAAAAATATCAATATTTAAATAGGTATGACTGCTTTTTACTTTTCCTTTAATATACATTTTAAAATAATGTAGCAACTTAAAACCCAATGCCTCCAATGCAAAGTAGACGTATAACAGTGAACACAAATGTGATCAGAACTATATTCTGGGAAAGAGCAGCAAACATCCGAACCCTTGCTCAGAACCTTGTGTCAGGTTCTTGCACATCATCCCGTGGATCTGCACACGCACCCTTCATGATGGGCTCGTGCAGAAGAGCTGACAGGAGGCCCTGTGTCAGGCGCAGCACTTGTCCTGCTTGAGAAGGAGTTTGTGTCCTGCTCTCCTGAAACAAAGAGTTTCAAGGGCAAGTCAGTTAAAAAGCAAATATGTCAGAAGTGTCCTTCAGAGTGACCACCGCTTGAACGCCCTTACCCCTTGTCATACACAGTTCTGTTTTTCTGTACATTGAGACTCCATTATTCCGTGGATTTAAATCTCCCTTATGAATCATTCGTGCAGTTTGGATCTTCTTGTGTGAAGTATGTGTGCGGACAGTGCTGTCCTTCCTGTTACACCGCAGTAACAACTGCAGGGGGACTGTGTTTCCTCAAGGAAGAAATGGTTCATCCCAATGTATGTGTGAACTGTGGTACGAGAGTGTAATGTGCATTAAAGTGTACGAAGAAGATTTCAGTCAAGATGCTCTATGGCCTGCAGAGCTAGAAATCCGGTCTCTTTGTCCTGATTTTCTTTACCTTTCTGTGACAGGAGGATGTCAGATCCCCTGGGTGTCTCCAGGGCTGCTGACTCCTGCTGGTGGGGGCGCCTGTGATGACCCTGTGATTTCACACCTCAGCCTTGTGATCCACGGCTGTGCCTGGCCTTGAGATGGCAGAAGGACACCTGTGGCACCTTCAGGGTTCATGTTCTCTTAAAAACGCCTATAATGTCCAGCAGGGGAAGTCTGTTTTCTTGGGTTCTTTTGTCCATAACATGGAAACTTCCTCAGTTCCCAGCCAAGCCAGTTACTGATCCCTGGGAGCGACCAGGGCTAAAGGTGACAGCTCTGACAAACCTTCCTTCAGACTTTGAGGCTGGGCCTGATGCCATGCAATAGCAGGGTTGAAATCATGTGTTTTTGAAAGAAAGAAATGATTAGAAGAATAACTTGGGGTAAGGAAGTGATAGTTTCGATGCAGTTATTGCGTTAGTGTCATTATTTCCTTAGGATTCTCAGGTAACCTCTTCATGCAGGACACTAGATTCCTGATAAGAATCCCGAATTTCTTTGTGTCTTTTCCAAAAGATGTGCTCAGCCTGAAGTTCCAGTCATTAACTTAACTACAGGGAAATAAAAGCAATGCCAAAATGTTGTTAGTTTTTAGAAGTAAATAGGTTGACACATAATTTTGTAGGTAAAATGCATTTACCAAGAAGTTTTTTTAAAAAGTCCATAGCAATGAAAGTGTACCTGTTAACATCTTATATCACATGTGGTGGCAAAGTGGAAGAGCCCAGTGTGACAGCCGGCGCAGGGCTTGGTATTACAGCTCTGTATCAAAGCGACAGCAATTTGAAGCCACGAATCCAAAATTACTGGAAAAGATGAAGAAAGCCCTTTGATCGCTGGCTGGCTCAGAGAAGTTTGGCCACGCTGAATTCTGAGTGCCAGGCAGGGGTAATGGCTGGGCCCCCGTACCAGGTGAGCACGATCTCAGAAGCAGGAGGGCAGAACTACAGAGCATCCACCCTGGGCACACGTGCGCACAGAGGGGGAAGGGGCGTTTACAGAGCACTCTTGTGCCTGTGAGGCAGGGGGCGGCACCAGTGACCTAAGTCAGAGGCCCCCTCTTGCAGGAGTTTTGAAAGAGAGCCAGGGCCTTACCAACATTACATACCTTTGTTTTGTTACTGACAAGTTTTTCCAGTTATCTGTGCTGGAATCAATCCATGGCACCAAGTGCTTCTCTTTCACTTTATCTTGAAATCCTTGATTTTGACCCACGGAGTCCCTTGTCACCTCCTTTTCCTTTCCTTGCCCCATTTGAAGAGCTTTTCCCATCAGGTCAGAAGTCCTTGTTTGGACTCCACTTGCTATTCACTGATCTGACCCCCTAGATACCCGTTTAGAGGGTGTTGATTAGGAATAAAGGAAGACAGACCAATTTGAAAGGAGAAGGGGGCCTGGGAGCAGATGTGCTTCTAGTAGACACTCTCAGCAGTCTGGGTGCACCTGCTAATACTAGAAAACCAAAAGCGCAGGAGGGTTTTGGGCATCATTTGTAGTACAGTGACTGTAGATGTCAGTAAATGTACAACTACATAGTAATAGGGAACAAGATTAATGGGGAACAGATCCTTCCTTCTACCTGGATGCCTGCATTCTATGGATTGTACTCAGCAGAAGGTATCTTGCCCTAGGAATGCTGTGATTATGAGTTTTCCTACACACAGAGAAAAACCTTCTGGTTCTTTTTATTACCTTTTCAGTTTCTAGAGCAATTGTGGTGTCCATCTTGGGATCTATAGGACCCACGTCATATGGCCTGGTCCCCATATTTGAGTTGGTGAAGTTTGTGTGCTAAATGTGATTACGGTAGGCAGTGTAGTATTGGATTTTGTTTCTTTATCTATTTTGCTGCTAATCTGTCCTTGATTGCTGAGTTGAGTCCATATACATCCATAGTTATACTTGATAAATATTGACATTTCTGAATGAGTCTTGCCTTATTTGTCTGCTACTAATTTGCTAGCCATACTTCATACATTCTTTTTATCAGACACTTTTAGCAACATTGTTGATCTAGGATGTTTTTCTTCTAGGATGTCCTTGTGAACGTTTTGGAGTGTTGTTTCAGTGGTCATGAATTTCTGTAGGTTTCCAATATCACTGAAGGCCATTGTGTCTCCTTCAGTTGGAATGAGAAATTTGTACCAGTGTGGGTTGGAAATTGTTTTCTTAAAGAGCTTGAAACACTTCTTTTCAAGCTTTCTTTGCCTTTAGATTTTCTTCTGAGAATTCTATTGCCATTCTGATAGGTTTCTCTTATAGGTGATATGTTGGTTTTCTCTAGCAGCTATTGAGATCCTCTTTTTCTGTTGGATTTCTTATATTTTAATTATGTTCCATGGAGTGTTTTTTTCTTTTCCTAGTTTTCTGCTATTTCTCATGTGAACAGCTGTTTAAATGCCCTTTGTGACATCTTCTGACTTTTTACTGATTCCTATTTGTGAGACATGGCCCCATGATTGTACCCAAATCAGGCCTTAAGCAGCACAGGCTGTCAAGAGTTAACCCCACAACTGGCTTGTTTATAGAAGTGAGAATGGCCAAACCCTTCCTGCTTAGGTCAGAGTGGTTTGCACCCAAATTTCACTCCCAAAGTCAAAACCATCTTTACTAAAAATGCCAGGTTAATTATGAACCACAACTTACATATGGTCTCTGTTCCTAATTCAGGAATGTTTTGTCTCTTCCCTTACAAGCCTTGCCTGCATCAGCAACATATCCATAGCACCTCCACATAGGCTCCAAGCAGCCCCTTTTACGCGGGCTGATGATGCTGTGAACAATAACTATCGACAGCTCTGCAGGTTCAGGGTCTTGGCTAGTCCACACCTCTGATTGCACCAGCACTTGCCATCCTTGCTCTCCACATCTCTCCTTCAACACAATGTCTGTGTCTTTCTTTTCCTCTTGCCCTGCAGCACCAAGCGAGAGATCTGGATCTACCCCAGGGTCCTGTGATATCTATTTCTCTTGTATGAGGCGTCTCTGACTCATCTACCTGTGGCTGCATCCACTGCTGACCTTCCTCGTTGGTTGAGATCTCTCACAAGGTCGACCTTGACCTCTGCCCAGCCCTCATGGCCCTACACTGTCTTTACATTGGTTGCTTCTGCTTCCCACACTGTCAGTCATCGTTTTCATCTCCTGAACTTCTGTTTGGAACTTTCTCATGGACCCCATTCCTTTCTATGCTGGGAACTCATGCTTTGCATCTCTTCCTTCAGCTGCACTAATGGCTTATGGTCTTCCCTGGACCCCCTGATCATTGTTTTCTTTAGTGCTGTCATCAGGTTAGTTGTAAGTTTGCAAAATTTCCCGAGAATATTTTTAAACCTTTTCACCTCCTTTGACAGCCTTTCTGACCTACCTAATATGTAGTTCATGACTTTATTCCCCCAAAGCCTCTTGACTGTGTCTGGAGGAATTGGGCTTTTTAGAGACATTCTGCTGCCTTGTCTGTTCATATTTCTGTTTTTCTTGTTGTGGTGTTCAGGTTTCCAAATTCAATGGACCATTGCTCTGTTACTTGGGAGTGAAGGACAGTCTTATTTATGATTTCCAGGCCATGTAGATATTGGCACAGAGAGAAACCCAGTTGTCAACCACTACTATGCTACACTGGCTCTTGTATCGATTCAACAACAACAGTGCCCTCAGTGTCATCTGAATTTTGACAAAACAAAGGAACCATTCATGAGCAGCACTCAAGAAAACAACAAGGGCCATGATTTTAGAACAGAGAATTAGGGCACCCCCATACTGACATGTAAAATTCAGACTTTAATTTCTGCTACTCGTAGGTTGCACTTCCAGAGCTCCAACATATGATTAGACTCATTACTTTCTTCTGTGCTGCTCTGCTGATCATTACTTCACCAAACAAGGCCTCCAAAGCAGAATGCAGGCCCAGCGCCTCCCAGAGAACCCTGCAGATTCCTATTTACCTGTCACCTCCTTAAACCCATCACCAAGGCCTGGCCATCACCTGGTCCCTGTCATTGGGTTTCATTCAGTCTGAGGGAAAACTGTCCTCCTGGTGCTTGGTCAGGACTTGGGTCACTTCGGTCAGAGTTCTGTCACCTCTCTTGACCTGGACTGTGAGGGACACAAGGCCTGGTGTCCTGATGCACGATTCCCCGATCTCCTGGCTCAGCACTGGGGCGGTGGGCATCCATTGTGGTGAAGTCACAGTGCGGGCCCCATGTCTGCTTGCCTGGATTTGGGCCTGGGGAGGTGTTGGTGTTGACTCTGCAGTCATTGCTATGTTTAATATGAAGATGTGTTCAGGAGCCATGCTTGTGGTTGTCGAAGAGTCCTGCCATTTTGTCCATTGCAGTGAAGTGTACTGGAGAAAATGAGGGTAATTTTTGAGGAATTTAAAGTTACTGCACAGTTCCTGTTTCAAATTACAGAAAGTGCTAGCATTTTAAAAAATTAATTAATGTATTTATTTTTGCTACTGGAGATGGAACTCAGGATGTTGTGCATGTGAAGAGGCAGCGGAACCACTGAGCTAAACACCCAGCCCAGGCTGTCATTTCTTAAAAAAGAAACAAAGTGAGAGAAATAATTTTAATAAAAGAGGAATTATTAGATATGGAAATGAGTGCTAACTCATGAGATAGAATGGCTGAACTTGTGGAATACAGAATCACATATAACTGAGTCCTATTTTGAATATCGAACTTTCTAGCCTTACACACACACGAAAATTGTTAAATCCAGTAAGTATTCTCTTTCAAATTTATAGGAATGAAAGGAGTATCTATCTTACTACCTTCATGTAAGTAGTAAAACGTGATGAATGCAAAGGATTTAGGACAATCCTGAATACAATTGAAATCCTCTCATATAATTCACTGTATTTTAATACCGTGTCTTGCAGCATGGTGATTCCCCTGTCTGCAGAACTAAGGCACATAGGGAATAACTGTTCATCGGGACTCCAGTGGAACGTGAATTCTGTCTTCTTGTAATTGTCCATTCTGAGTCTAAGACTTCACACTTACACCCACAGGCGGAATCAGAGAAGGCTGTATGGTTACTAAGAGAAGGGAGTCATAGGGGAGGCAGAGTCTCAGGATTAAATGAAACATTTTCCTTCGTTCTTGTTTTACTTGTTTCCTTCTC